TGTAAAATACATTAGAAACAGGACTAAAACAAGACGTTCAGGAGAGTGAAAGCAAGAGATTGGACAAAAGACCAGTCAGATTACAATATACAGCCCACAAGCATTTGAGAATTGAAGCACGGAAACAAAACATACAAGAGTTTTGCAGAAGGAAGTCAAACAGGAGGAGGGCTTATCTTAGATCATCAGTATTGAAAGTGGGGGGGGGACACTGAACTCAAGAGAGCAGCAGTTCTTATAGAACATCATGGAGCATCACCAAATCATAAAATTGTAATATGTAAGATGGATGGAGGGTATAAGGTTATGAAGCAGAACGTGAAATATCAAAAGCATGGCTGCTTTTACATGTGCCCAAGACTGCAGAACAGTGGAGGAGAAGCCAAACTACAACACAATACAAGAGCTACGAAAAAAGAAAAAGAATAAAAGAGAATTGTCCCTGGTTTTCAGGGAAAAGACAGGCTGCAATCAACCCCACTTGCTTTTCCCCTTTTCCATCTCCCCCAATCCCATCTCCTCAAACTTTCTCTATCACGAGTCAAGAGTGGTTGATAAAGCAAACATAAGGTTTTCAGGAAATTAATGGCAACTAAATGTAAACTGAAAAGAAAAAGCAACTTTTATGCATCAAAAAGTCCTCATAAAACTATTCCTTTTCCATATATTGTTCCTTTTCAAGGCATAATGAGAAGTATTTCAAAAGGCTGCATCTGTAAGTTACCTTCAGTTTTCACAAGGAGATTATGTCTTTTACTTCTCACCTTTTGAAGTAGAAAACAAAAGAGTTGCTAGCAATGCACAGTAACAGCGGTAAGTGCAGTTTGCAAAGGAGAAGCAACAATAACCCAAATCAAAGAAGCCCATCAAGAACCATATTCCATTTCATAGCTAAAAACAGTAAAACCCACTCTTCTTTCGCCAGCAAGTGGAAGAAGACATCAAATACCTTTCAGTGGTTCAGCCAAAGTAAAATCAGGATGGAGCATCCTCTTGTGCATAGTATTATTATAGATAAACAATTAAATGTATCAGTTTTAGATAGACAAAATGGTGGAGCTACTGAGTCAACAAGCCCTTCGTGGGTCCGGAAGAATTGACCGGTGGAGTTTCTTCCATCGGTTCGACCTGTAAAGCAGAAACCAGCATAAGAAAGAGCAGAGCACACAATTCGTTATAATCAAAACTCGGGACTCAATAATACAAATCCTCCACAAGAATCCCATTTACCACGAGGTCGAAGTTGAAGATCGGGCCTCGGAAACAGAAGTTGGCAATGCGGGATTTGAAATGGGTCCTATGCCGAACCTCTTTGATTGCATTCAAAGAAACCTCATGAGATTAGATTGGCAAAAGAAGAATAAAGAGGGAAAGATTCTAATTGGGTCACAGATTCTTATGAAGTTGAGGGGGCAGAGAAGGTGTACCAAAGAGAATTATTGCGTCGTCTATGTGCCCACTTCAACTGCCCGCCTCTACTGACATAGTCACATTCTGCTTCTAATAAATAAGTTGTATTCAAATTTGGATACACATAAGAGATTAGATTAGAGTTAGGGAGTAGTCAAACTTTGTTGTATCGAAACTACATGTCGGATTGGACTCCGTAACGCGACTGGAGTGTGTGTGTCCCATCACAGCTCAGCCTCACCCACGCGACTCTGTTAATATAATCCAATTAAGCAAAGGGGACGTTATTGGAAGTTGGAGGGGCCTTAACTGGGCTACTTCTTGTCGGTTGGATGCCATGACTTGTCTATTACGCCAAATCCCTATGCGGCCCATCACCATGTGGGTTTACTACTGGGCCCACGTACATAGCTACTGGCCCAGTATAAATTATAAATTTAATATTTTTTCAAATTATTAAATATAAAGGTAAATGAATAAGTAGGAAATGTATGAACAAGCAAAGACTCTGATGACATTCATTTATTGAACAACATGAGTATTTAAGTGAATGAAGCAAAACCAGCCCTCCAATCTTTGACACCAAGGGGCACTGCCCAATCTTCTCCTCCTGCAGTGTACTCCGGGCTACACCCTACCATCTGTATAGGAGACAACCGAGTTCCATTCTTCATTGGGCTTCGGCTCATTTGCGTTCCTCCCCCTGAACTCGACGAGTCACAACCCGACCCACGAACCGATATTTTTCTCGTTGACATCTTGCATTTTGGTCTTTGGTGTTTGATTGAGCCTTGACTACTCCTCACCTTGGCCTTAGTGGATTGGGTCGGGGCCATGTAGCTCGGAACATTCTTGGGAACTCGCTCTTGTGGAGTCGAGTATGAGCCTGGTTCAATCGAGTCCAAATTTAGTTGGGCCAGTGCAATGGGATCCATTTCGATGGTCTTTTCCGACACGTCGTCTGTTGCAGTGGTGGCAGTTGTGGGTGCGATATAAGACTCACGTGCGTTGGAATGAGGAACATGACATGGGTGGGAACACATCCAATGCTGGAGCCAATTGGCCTTGTCATGGTTAAACCTAAAACCATTCACATTTTCACCCAATTGTAACATTCCTTCTTCTTGTCTTCGTTGATGTTGCTGTTGTACAGACAAGTGTCAAAATGTTGCCGATATGGAGAAGCCTAACAGGGGAAGGGTATGGGAAGAGAATTAATGAGAGACACATACCTGATACGAATATGCATAAGCCAGAGCTTTTTCCCTTTTCATTTGGGCATCACGTTTTCTTGAACAATCTTCTTTCATTTTCTCTACACTTACAACCCCACCATCCCAACCTTCTTCTTCTACTGCAAATCTTTTATCATAATTTTGGTTTGCCAATTGCAGCCTACCAGCACGAACTCTTGCTTGCACCCTCACTAATGCTTGCATGCAACGCATCGTCATTTCTGCTTGCTTTCGCACGTTGTGGCCTCGGACCAATGCTTGCAGCCTCACTAGCCCCTTCAAGGCACGCCTTGCTCGTCGCGCCTACAACATTGAATAACACAATAATTTAATGGCGAACAACATTCTTTTTAAGTTCAACTTTTGAAGTTGTAATTGATATCTTATCATACAAGGAAGACAAATTTATATGAATTTAGCACATTTGTTAGAATAAGATTTAGAATTTCAAATGTAGAAACAAAAAAACAACCTTGACGTTTACAAAGAAAAAAAAAGAACCGACTTACCAAGTAGCCTCTGTAATAAGCTTGAATAAGAGTAGCTGCACTATCTTCTCTAAATTGCCACCCATAGCCAGCCAAACGAACCACTTTTGCCGCTGCCTGAGCTGCAGCAACTGCAGCTTCTGTAGCTGCTGCAGTCGCCGCTGCAACCGCAATGGCATGATCTCGACCTTTGATCCTTGGTGTCGATTGAACGCTTTCATCGTTCATCACTTCTGTCGAATTCTCCTCGGGAAATTGTTGAAGTGATATAACCTCCGGAGCATTATGCTGCCATTTTCCCACATTCACAATTCTTTTACTTAAACTTCACCAACTATACAAATGGGTATCCCCATTATGGCATATTGTTAAAACACAAAATTGGTTGAAAGAAAAGAGATAAAAATGTGGTTGGAATATGATGGATATCTACCACCAACATGCACATGATAGGCTTAACAGGTTTGACAACAATATGTCATACACATTTTGGGCCCTCGTGTACTCTAATGGGGGACCAAAACCCCCGCCTTTCGTTTTCTTCCCTTCTTCCTCAGTCATGCATGGACCTTTTGTTAATCAAGATTAAATGTGTTGGGTCATGTGATTATAACCATCAACTTCGTCGTACAGTACTATGGTACATTTTGGGGCATTATAGCCCTGTAGACATGATTTTGATGAATGGTCATACACCCTCGTATTGACTTAATATGGAATGGTAAAGGCCTATCTAGGATGAAAGCATATAAAAGGGTTTGGAGCGAGCATGCAACCATGAACAACACGTCCTGGACAAGCAAGACCGGAATATCGGTCATGTGGCCATTGACAACCGGCCTTGGACATGCACGACCGTGACATCCTCTCCCACTCAATTGGTTGAGTGAGGCCCTTTGAGAAAGTCCAAAACAAAGTCACAAGAGCTTAGGCTCAAAGTGGACAACGTCATACAACTGTGGAGACTCGTGTTCATCCAACAAAAAGACCTCTTTTTGTTGGAGCAAATAGAAGAGAACAAAAATGTAGTGATGATAAAAAAGAGAGTGAACTTTAAGCACACAAAGCCCAAGGTTGAGTACATGCAGACCCAGAAAAGCAGTTAAAATTTTGGAAGTAATTGTGGGAAGATGAGAGATGAAAACTCAAACCTTGTTGTGGAACTCAGGCGAGCTGAAGTCCTTAAAAGAAGAAGAAGAAGAAGAAGATTTGAAGACTTTCTTGACGGCGGAGAACCAGGCAGTTGGTTTCTTCCCCATCTGCAGCCACCGGAAACAGATCAAAGGCGCTCAAAAGCAACCAAAAAAGAATTCAGTGACCGGCAGGAATGAAGGTAAGGATTTGCGGGCATTGGAAAATGAAGAAGAGAAGCGGTAAAGCGGTAGGTAGGTGAGGGTGTGAAGGATAAATTAACGCCAAAACAAAGCTGAAGAGAGGGAGAAGCTGCCGTTAATGTTGAAGGGAATCACGAGGAGAAAGGCAGGGGATTTCTTTGTCATACGTGAACAACACCATACTTTTTCCACTTCCAGTTGGTGGAGGCTTTTAATGAGCATATATATATATCTATATATATTTATGTATGTATATGTGAAGGAAACTCATTTGGGCTGTTGGTAATGGATCAAAGATGGGCCAGATTTTTGTTGGGAGTGAGCCCACAAGGCCGAAACAATTATTTTGTTTGTGTTTGGTTTATTAAGACAAAAGAGGGGCTTTATTAAGCTGGACCGAAGATCTAGCATTAGGCGCTTGCCCAAACAAGGCTCACTCCAAAATACAAAACAAATTGATTTTCAATACTTTTCTTCGGAAGTGAAATGACGTCGTTTTCCCCCAAATCCTCCAAATTAGATATTCAATCTGGAAGGCACACAAGTCACAACTTCACCTCGCTGCGTGATTTTCTGTTGTGTGAGAATATCTCCTAGTGTCTTCCTTCATCATCCGCTTCCAATTTCCCTTCCTCCGATGCCAATTCCAAATCTTTCATTTCTCCATCTCTATTAGCTTCCAATTTTCTCAATCCCCATTTCACTTCCTCCATGACCTTATATATTTAGCTCTTTTCTCCTCTTTTCCTTTCATTTCCCGCTAAATACTACTTTCACCCATGGCCGCCGCTGCTCTCAGGTCCAGGTCCTCCAAGGAAGTTGCCAGTTTAACTCTTTCTCGTTGTAGACACTGTGTTTCCAATTATATTCACTCTGCTAGCAATCCCATTTCCCACTGCGCGCGTCGTAACAAATCGAATGACCTCTATCTCAGCTCACCCTTCCACTTGGTCTCTTTCAAGTCGGTTTCACTTAGAGGCGACTTTCTCCACCACGGGACTCAACCTTTCGATCATCGGAGGGCTTATCCGAATTCCAACAAGAACCTGAATGAGAGGTTGAGCAGGGGCGGTTGTTTTATGAGCACTTATGGGGACCCGCCTGAGGTGTGGTCTGGAGATGGGATTGTGATTCGTGGGAGTAATTCAAGCTTGAACGGTCATGGAGGCGGCGGTGGTGGAAGCGCCAACTCTGGTTCTGGTGGTGGTGGGTTTGGCGCGAACTCGAATGATGGGTGTTGGGGTGGTTCCAGTTTGGGTCCTAATTTTCCAACCCCCAAGGAAATCTCCAAGGGGCTTGATAAGTTTGTAATTGGTCAGGAGAGAGCTAAAAAGGTAATCATCGTTTGTGACTGGACATTTTTTATACATTCAGATACATTCTTTTTATTGTCTGAAGTAAGTGTTGGTCTCTCTTGCAGGTGCTCTCTGTGGGTGTTTACAATCACTACAAGCGTATCTATCATGAATCGTTGCAAAGGTTGTTGAATTTGAACGCTATATACTTCCTGTCTATTACGAGTATATATATACTTTTTTGAAGTATGGTGGAGTTAGTAAGGCGTGGCTTTACTTCAGGTCCATAGTTCTGGTCAGAAATTACAACTCACAACCAACTTATCTATTGTCCTTGTTTCTTCATTACTTGTTCTGTGGTGTGTGGGAGGAAGTGGCTAACATAGTTGTTAAACTCTTACGATAACTCCCAAAGGCAAAACACACACAGATGCATACAAATATCATGATGCCTGTACTTGTAGTGGATCATTGTCTTTTTCGAGTCTAAAACCTGCAGAGCCTAGTTTTACCAGTCTATCTTCTTGATTTTATGATAAGAAAGGATACACTGAATTGGACAGTCAAATTGGGAACTGGTAACCTTTAGTTCAATATTGAGGTGAATCCACTTCCAGAACAATTCTTCAAGAAGACATTCTCCGATAAGGAATCGCTACAAGAGACGTAAGATTTGGATTACCTTGCTGATCGAATCTCAAGACAAGAACACTTGTTTGAGATTCGAATCACTTCACAAGCAAGATCGATCATATCAAGCTTGAATGATTCTAAACATGTAGTCTAAACTACATAGAATTACAAAAAAAACTTAGCCATTGGATAAAGGAAAGCGCAAATGCTCATTTTACTGTCTTTTCTAAGTCTCTTTTTCAAATACAACATACATGACTTTATATAGCCTCAAAATAAAATTTTTGACATTCCGTTAGGCTGGCTTTATATAGCCTCAAAATAAAATCTTTGACATTCCGTAAGTTGTAACATTCCTACTTTATGATCAGAATTAACCATTATGTAAATGTAACCTAAAGTAAACAAAAAGTCCTAAATCGCATTAAAGAAACATCATAACTCTAAATTATGACTCACCCAAAATTTATAACAATAAAGCTTGATTCTTCTTCAATGTGGCATGAATTGAAACATCTTTTGACAATTTTAACAACATTTTCTTCACATCTTCCTTAAAGTTTATATTGCATGATTGATGTCTTGGTTCATATCATTCTCTCTCCTTTTGAGTTTCTGTTTTGAATTTATAGAGCAGTAAGTGTTTATATGATCAGAGTGATGTATGCTTTCATTCCTTCCTTCCGAGGGAGTTGAGTGCATGTTCTCATGTGAATAATAATGATACATGTTGTGAATATTCTATTTAGATGGATGTTGATTTCTCTGTCTCCCTCTTGCTACACTCATTGAGGATGTGCTCATTCTGTGAAGTAAAATATGAAGGACCTTTAAATGTTTTGTTTTTCGTGTGCAATCTAGGCCTACAGGAGATACGGTTAACAACAAAGCTGATGCTGTTGATGATGATAAAGTGGAACTTGAGAAAAGTAACATCCTTCTGATGGGGCCAACAGGCTCAGGTGCAGTTTACTTTTGTAAAATGTAGAGTATGTGAATCAAGTTCAATAATCACCATATCTTTGGAAATTTGATTTGTCCTAACTTATAAAAATAAAATAGAATAAAGATCTTTCCAAATTCATTTGGAGATATAGAGAAACATTTTCTTGTTAAGAAATCAATTTATACCACGGAACTTTAAAGGTTGTATCACATAAAATCTCAATCCATTAATTGTATCAATTTAAACCTGAAACTTTTATTAGTGAATCAATTAAGGTTTTAAGACTCTTAATGTATAACTTTCACTCTTGTATAAAACCTCTCTTAATACGGGGACGGACATAAAATAGAGAAAAATGTTGGAACTAAATGGATAATATGAGCTTTTCATTAATTAGCAATTTTTTTATCTCTCGTCTTCCTCTATTTTTCTACTTATTTAGAAGTAATTCCGTGATAATTTTTCTTGCTACTTTGTTAGGACTTTAGGAGAAGAATAATGTTATTTAAGTGATTTTGAGTTGATTTGAAATGGAATAAAGTCAAACTAGCTATAAATTACTAATGGAAGGTCTAAATTGATTCACTCATGAAAGTTTTAAGGTTTAAATTCATACAATCATTAGTTTGGGGTTTTAATTGATACAACCAAATTGATTTAGCCTATTTTCTTCCCCAAAGATTTCCTATGCTAAGGCCATTCTCCCTATGAATGGAATAGTGCCTTTTTTCCCACCAATCAAAAGTGGCTCCCGGAGTCGGTGTCTACTCTTGCCCAAAGGTAGCCCATATTTTCTTCATAGAGTCTGGATGCTTTAGTTCGGGTTTGGTAAAGGGACATCTAATTGGTAGGCATGCTGAAGAGAACTGATTTTGTAGGAGTAAGCCTTCCCTTGTGTGGCAACCTTCTTCCATCTAGTTGAGCCTCTTAGAAGCCCTATCTCTAACCGTATCAAATCCTAAAAGCTAAAACTCATTATTGCAATGCCCCTCCAAACATGACACATTCCTTCAATTACTGCTCGATTAAACATTGGTCAATTAGTTTTTGTTTGCTGTCTAATATCGTCTCTAATTATTGTGAACTCTTATATAATTCTTTATTATTCTACTTAATATTCGTTTCAAGGACAGGGAAAACACTTCTCGCTAAAACCTTGGCACGCTTTGTTAATGTTCCATTTGTTATTGCAGATGCAACTACCCTAACACAGGTAACTTGATTACTTTTTTTTTTTTTTTTTTTTTTTTTTTTTTTTTTTTT